CTTTTTTTCATCTCGCTCACGATTTACACAGATTTATCTCCCTTTATTTATCACTTGTTATTTTATAAAGATTTCCTTTAAAATTTTATATACCATTGTCTCTCTCTCATTTTATAGAACATTTTCTCTTATTTTTCTGTTTTACATGATATATATATATATATATATATATATATATATATATATATTCCTTCTCTCATTAAAATAACATTTCCTTTCGCAGTTACACATTCTTTCTTATTTTATACACATGTAATTTTCTCTCATTTTATGCATCTGTTTCCTTCAAAAGAAATGCTTTGTCATAATTTCAACATAGGGGTAACATTTAGTGAGTTGACTAGTCGATCAATACTATCGTGCATTGAGTTAGATCCTACACACAGACATAAATATATATATATATATATATATATATATATATATATATATATATATATATATATATATACAAATAATTGGCGCAGGTTCCACACCGAAACATGGACCAAAGTCCATATAAACATTTGTCAGCAAAACCTTCCTTTTTGGGTTAATTAGTTTAAAGAATGCTAAAGAAAGCTAACTGCCAGATAAAAGTTGTTTGAGGGTGGACCCTTCAGGCAACTTTTATCTCTCGGATCGCACTTCCATAGAAAATATGTTATTTATAGGCGTGCAAAGGTAGCTCTGCTCGATTGATGGCAAGTTCATTATATTTACTCGTGGAGAGATGTATCAAGTTAGATTATTAATCGTTTGTACATTATTTTTCGGACATGTCTCGTATGTACATTACAAAAGTATCTTCATCATTTGTGAACAGAAGATCCATAAAAAAGAAAGGACATTATGCAAATTAACATAACAAAAATGTGTAATATGTAAATTGAATGAAGCAAGAAAAAAACACAAATAAACAAACAAACAAACAAATAAATATAAATATATATATATATATATATATATATATATATTTATTTGTTTGTTGGTTGGATATATGTGAGTTTGTGACCCTGGGTTTCACGTTTTAGCGATAAACCCAGGGTCACAAACTCACATCTATCCAACCAAATATGTTAGCTCTATCTCTGATATTGAGCGCTTTCTAATAAGTACCATGCATATAATATATAAATAATTACATATATATATTTGTTTATATTTATATACACACACTTTTCACATATATATATATATATATATATATATATATATATATATGAGGTGCGGCAGTAATATCCCCCTGTATATACCTCCCAACTAATGGTAAGACATAAGCTAGATGAAAACACCACTCCCAATACGGATTATTACATCTTTGGTGTTAGAGGTAGATTTGTTGTTCTCATGTTTCATCAATGACCAGGTATGTTCAGTATTTTTTTTTTTAACAAGAACAAAGTCTACGTTAACTGGTGAAACTAAAACTATGATTCTTTTTAACTGTATCCTTACAAAAATAGATGAGTTCAACACATACGTTTTTTTTTCATTTGGTGGATTTTTCGTTTATTTCAATCCCACATTAATGCTATCACAAAATAGTAAAAAAAGTGGACAGATTGAAATACAACATCTCTTTACTTATCTTTCTCCACCCCCACCACGCACACACACGCACTCACAGAGGAACAAACACACTCATAGTTCTGCGTTGTCCTCGGAAAATATACAGGAAAACTTACCCTATTAGGTACAAATGACTACCATTTTTTTTAATCCTGTGACCCGTAGGGTATCATATGTACTGCAGCGACAGCAGAAGCAGTCGGCAACATAGACTGAATGAACCCAAACCTCTCCGGTCCGGTCTCCTAGACTGGTTGCTACTCAAGGTTATAGAACCCAGTCTGTCCTGCTATTTGCCCATAGCCTTAGAAGAAGATGATTCATACCTTTCCAAGGTAAGTAAATATAATAGATCCGACTGAAATTCGAATTCGGGTCTCCGATTCCTCAATCCTCAGTCCTCATAACTCCGTGCCCCAACCCCGGAGCTTAATACAAGAGAGTATATTACGGGTATAACAACTTTGTTCTCTTGGTAACGCTTTTTTTCAGAAGATCTGACGACAAATACGTTAGTTATTTTTTGATATTTTAAGTACAAGCTAATGCCTGACTTACGAAAAATTGCTCAAATTCGAGCTCAAATATTTGAAAACCATCCTTTCAATCGACAATTTCTTTTCTGTAATAGAAATGACATATCATAAATTATTGCAATAAAAAAGGAAGAGTTTAAAAAAAAAAAAAAACCTTCTCCTCTACAAGTTCTCGTGGGTGACGAATTATTTTCAGTCCTCTAACCTCTTTTTCAAGGGCGAGACGTGGCAAGTCTCTCACTGCTCTATCGTTAGTTTAATGATTATGATCGGGCAAAATACATTCCTTGATTCCACCAAGTCTAAACTTCACAGGTAGGACACGCCATGCCAATCATATTCCTTTTGTATTCTATTAAGGAGGAGAATGTTCTACTCGAACAGCACCTTTCCGTAGAGGATGTTTTCCCGATCCCGTCTTAACATGTTCACATCTAGAGTCATCGCCCCTCCGATTAAAGCCAAACAATTCTTGAAAAAAAAAAAAGTATAAACTGCCATTTACCGTAACCTGCTACTTCGAGTGGCTCACGGGCCTTTTACAAGGCGACGATTCTTTAAAATAATGAAATTTATTATAACATAAATTATTTCGATTGGATTTAAAATACTATTTTCCTTTAGTGTTTCCACCTCTCTGTAGAAACTACTGTAATGTAAGTTCTATATGTAAATTTTATTCGACTAAATTCATATAATGTTTAATAAATTTACTTAATAAATATTTATTTGTTTTATAACAGGTTACATAAAGTGAAGGGAAAATATATATTTTCGAAATTAAAATTAGTTTACTTTTATTTTTCAAAGGAATTCATTTTCATTCAGTAAATAAAACTAAGTGACCACGAGCTATCTCTCTTTCAAGATGCAGACTTACACTTGAGTAATTTTTATTCCTTGAAGCAAAAAGGAATTTCACTGGTGCAATGTCGGTAATTTTTCGTTTTATCTTGAAACAATATGGTAATTGCAATAGAATTTCTCGTGTTGTGTTCAGTAACACAATAGTTGCAAAAACGGCACTTGCTTTAGAGTAGCTATTAAGATATAAAAGAAATTCAGTCGATTTTCATTTTTGTAGACAAACATAAAATTGCGACAGATGATGGTCGATAAATATCCAAAAACAAACACACACGCACACGCTTCTATATTCTACATTAGAAACACACTCACACACAACGCCAACAAACCTTTAAAGTTATATATATATATATATATATATATATATATATATGAAGAGATATGGTCTTAAGATGTGCTATATTTATGGGATAAAGTACTCAATATCAGAGATAGAGCGTGTGTAAATATAAAAGTGAACATAGATGTCAACACTTAGAGGCGACAGTCTTCTGCAATTGTGGCCGGACGATTGCATCTAGCATGAAACAGACTGTCGCCTCTAAGTGTTGACTTCTATGTTCACTTTTATATATATATATATATATATATATATATATATATGAATTTCATGGTAGAGGAATTATCATTATTTTTATTATTTAGAGTCAAATTTAGAGTCAAAATAAATCATTATCTTTCTTATTACACTCACAACACTTCAGCTGGTGTACCCACTGGTCTTCTTCCAATATCTGTATTTAATTTAAATATGTTCGTAACCATACGATGATGATATTAATCCGACAGTAACTAAAGAGTATTCTGAAATAATAAAATACATTTTACTCTCTCTCTCTCTCTCTCTCTCTCTCTCTCTCTCTCTCCTTGTTACATCCTGTCAGTGTAATTTTTAATGATTGAAATAATATAGTTCATTCATTTTTATTAAGCTGAACTCATGGAAGTTTTCATCGACAATTCTTACGTCTTCATCGACTTATGGCCACATCATGTTGAAACAGAGGTAAGATCACCGAAGTTAACACTTCCGCTACTAACTACGGAGATCTTCGTTTTTCTTATCTTACTCCAGCTGACTAAGTACGGAAACCTACTTTTTTTTTGCCTACCGCTGGTATGAGTGACCCATTGCGCCATCTATCGTAAAATCACAAAGGACAATACTTCAAAAGATATCATGTGTATACCCATTACTGGTCTGGTAAGTCGTTCCCAGGTATATCCATGAAAATGGAATGCTGTAAAACACACTGGTGCCACTTTTCTGTGTAATAAAATATGGAGGTTGAAATTTGGCATTTTTTTAAAAAATGGCTCGCCGGATGGGGGCAGCACTGGGCGAATGAGTAGCAGTGAAAGTGTTAAGTAACGTCGTGCCTCATCAGTACCTAGATGGTTGAAGGTTAAGGAATACAGCGACCGTAAACTTGGATGTGCGTGCGGTGTAATAGATAATGGCTTGGAATTTTTAATCGGAGACCTGAATTTGAATTCTTGTTGTTTTCGTTATATTCACTAACGCATACCCTTGTGAAAAAGTATGAATACACTTCTCCTTTCCCCAGGTATGGGTAAATTAGTAAGACTTATATAAAAAAAAAACATTATTGGCTAAAAAAATCATTCTTATATTATAAATGAAAATATTCTGGCTCTAAATAACCTACAAAGTGTTGATAACGCGTAAAAAATGAATGAATCAATAAATCAATCAACCATTCATCGTAAAGCGTTCCAATTATTTAGGACTTACGCAAACATAAATATACACACACACACACACACACACACACACACACACACACACACACGCACTCACACACACACACATATATTTATGCAGGGTGACTGAAAATAAAAAGTAACAGTACATTTAAAAATAATTATAATTTATTTATTAAACCTAATTTTTGTAAGAAATGGATTTGAGAGGAAAGCTTTTAGCGTGAGGTTTTATTTAAAATTCGATATGGACACCAGGTTTCGCTACCAGCTTCTGAAGCCGCCAAGGATTCGCGTCAATTGATTTTACCAGGAACACTT